TGTGTTGTCCTTCACATGCTACCTGATGGTTTGGGAAGGCATGCCGACAGAAACACACCGGTCACACTCTAAATTCCCAAAACATCAAGTATAGAGCATGTGGTTTCGCCCCTTCGCGCTCCAATGCCTTGTGCTGGAGTGCTGTTCCTTCTTCAACGATGGACCATTTGCCCGATCGCATAACGAAACGGAGATATTGACTAGGATGAGGCTTTGTCAGTGGGTCGGCTAGCATAGCCCTTGTATCTATCCATCGGACCCGCCCGCTGGTCTCAAGAAGGTCCGCCTTGATCACAGAGATGTCGATCGCTGTTCTCTTGTCACTGATGTATGCTGTAGTACTGCTGCACTTGTTCGTAGCGTCGTAGAGGCTTTTTGAATCTACGGCCGCCATGAACGGTAGCCGCTTGGATTCTTCCCTCCAATGGTCGGTCGTCATCATACCGTAGAAGGCCTCCAGGAACATCAGACGGTGCCAGTGAACGCTTCCAATCCCGGCATGTAGAGCTTGGCCTTCGGCTGCCAGAGTATCTACGGTTTTCCGCTTAAGCCTGAAACTTTTCCAGGCCGCAATCGTAGTGTTCTGCGGTGAACTGTCCTCTGCCAGCTTCTTGTCGTGGTAGATGATGATTTGACCGCCTTGGCTACTTAGTTGCTGAAGTTGCACCAAGCTGGAATGAATCTTGCTAGCTGGAGTCCCATGATCGTCCTTGGCCTTCGAGAAGGTCGTAGTTCCTCGCCAGCTGGAGTCGTTGAGAACTCGGATCCCCTTTGAGTCGCACCACTCATCTTGACAAACTTCCCGACGTAGGTGTTCTCCTTCCTGCACGAAGTACTCGGTCTCCCGGGTCGGCAGGATCGCATGTAGGTCCGGTCCCCCAGGTGCTGCACCTGGGTGGAACGTCGTTCGTCGTTCACCTTGGTGGTGTCGAATCCAGCTCGTCTCTGTCTCTTCCCAGAAGTCCTCGGTGGAGGACTCGATCCATAGGGCTTCCTTGGCGTTGCCCCACGCAGCATCGCTAACAACTGAGACACGTAGGTCGTGCCAAGGTATTGGCATGACCCGTATCGCCAGGTCCTTGTGCTTCATAGCTTCCTCGCTGATCTTGTTGCACTCCACCAGGTCCATGACCCTTGGTTCTGGAAAGCTTTGCTGGAGTAGTGCCACGCGGCCCGATAGATCACATCGAGTCTCCTTTGCCAGCCAGGACAACACTCCCAACCGATTCCTCAGTTGCTCGATTTCCTGGCTGTCACACTTTGAGTACCTTTGCTGACGGCGCTTCCTTGTGATAGGAATCTGTTCCACACGTTCATTGACGTAGAACTCCTGGGAGATGGTGATCGAGCCATCCTTTTCCTTCTTGAAGTCCTTGCCCGTGAAGCGGCCTTCATTAACCTGGTTCTTGCCGAGCTTGTAGTCCTCGGCGATCTTCTGGATATTGTTCCAGTGGTCCTGGTCGCCTCCATGGAGGAGATCGTCTGTAGCCACACCGATGATCCCCTTGAGCTGACCGCGTCCTTCTTTGTCATGTAGAAGAAAGACACATGGGTCGGCTCGGCTGATCGTGTAGCCGTCGCGAAGCAGCCTTTTTGATAGATGCTTGTACCAGGCATAGGGCCCATCAGTCAGGCCGTAGCATGTTTTCAGCAGCCGAATCAGCTGCTTGGGGTGGATCCCTGGAATTCCTTCCTTGGGCTGGCTGCAGTAGAGCTCGCGGTTGATCTTGTCTCCGGAGTGGAAGGCCTGAGTGAGGTCCAAGAAGCCGGGGTCCCAGCCCAGGCTAGCTAGTACCTGTGCCACGAATATGACCGAATCTCGGTTGACTTGTGGAGTGGTGCTCTCCACGTCCAGGGCGGCCTCCTCGGAAAATCCTTTCATCACGTGTCGACACTTGGCCTTGGCCGGTCCATGTGACCGGTCATCAAGTAGGATACCTTCGGAGTCGGCCTTCGAGACCTCGCTGGGTTCCAAGGGCTTCTTAGTCAGAACATACCTTGACTCCATAATCTTCTCGGGGCGTTCCCGACGTACTTGGTCTGACTGCTTCAGGTCGAGGATCTCGTAGGCACCGGTCGACAGGTTGTTGTTGATCTCCTTTAGAATGGCCTTGTGGAGCCGTTCCGCATCTTTCCCAATGAAATCTGTGACCTTGGACTCTTTCTTCTGGCGTTGCTTCGCCAGACTCTTGAGGTTCATATGGTATATCTCTAAGAGCTCGATGCGGCTTCGCTTTTCCGGAGGCTGGGCTGGTGGTAGCTCGGCTTCCCGCTTCAAGTCTGGTCTCATAGAGCTGTCGCCGTCATCATCGGCGACCTCCGCATCGACTCCTTCCGGCATCGCCTCATCGCCTTGGTTCCCGAGTTCAGGAGGAGGAGCTTCTCTCGCTTGTGGGGCTTCTTCATCTTCCGTCCGATAGAGGCCGGTCTTTTGTCGAACTCGTCGGACTGGAGGAAGACCTGGAGGTGGTTCAAGATCGCCTGGTTGTTCCGCAAGATCATCTTCCTGAACCAACTCGTCCGGCATGACGTCAGTGTCCTTGGTCAGATCGAGGAAGTTCCTCGTTGGATTCCGTTCAAAAGCTGCTCGTGCTTGAGAAATGCCCCGCATCCAGCCCGACAATGACAGAGACTCTTCTTCAGTAGCCAGGCGGACCCTCTCAGGAGCCGCCTTGATCAAGGTACCTTGATGGGAGATCCAGACGGCATTCGGCAGGGAAGTCATGATGATCCTGCCGGGCCCGGCCCAGTAGGAGTCTCGGTCTTTCTTTGTGGTACCAGCCCCTCGTCTCCAAAAGAATGCCGCTTGGCCGACCTCGAAGTTGCAATGCCTCCTGGGTCCTGCCAGCGCGGCAGCCCTCAGTGCCTGATCACAGTCAGCCTCGTGGAAGGCGATAGCCGCAGCCTTCCGCATCCGGGTGGCTCTTGCTACTCCTACGTCCCCGGCTTGTCGAAGACTGGCCACGCCCTGGTCCATGTCGGTGCCGGTCAGAAGGCCTCCAGGAAGCCTCGGGCTGTAGCCAATCACTCGCTGAATCGGGGAGTAGCCGGCTCGTAGTAGGAGTCGATTTCTTGTCATGCAAGCCACATCCACCAACTCCTTCCATTCTTCCGTGTTGTTGCACTTGTAGGTCATCATCGACTTGTAGAGGATATCTTTGAAGACGCCACCGGCCCTCTCGGTCAGGCCGCGTTGTGTTGGTGCCTCCAAGGCGCCGGGAATCGTCTCGGAACCATCTGCCTCCACTTGTCTCTTGAACTCCGCCTTGAACTCGGACCCCATATCCAACATCACCTTTCGGGGTGGCCCAAAGAAACGGATCCATTGGCGATAGGCTTTCCGTGCTGCCTGCGCGTTCTCTGCTTCCATCGGGATCACCAACTGAAAGTGTGAATGCCAGTCGACGATGTTGAGCGCCGGAATGGCCTTCTTCTGGTGGTCGCGGATGTGGACGGTATCAACCCCGACCAGGTCATTGATGAAGAGTTCTTCTCGAGGTGGAGCTCCTTGTCGGGTAGCAGCTGGCAGCTTATATGCTTCACACACGGAGCACCTTAGCTTCTTGGCAGTCTCGATGACCTCGTCCGTTGCCTTGGAGTGCCGCAGAATGCGAATGAAGCGGTTCAACTCGGGATGTCCTAGGCCCTCGTGTGCACGCTGAACCATCCGTTCTAAGGTCACCTTCTGCATCCCGGGGAAGTTTTGCATGTGACGGCTTGGTCGACCGTCTATCCGCTTTTGGAAGATGACCACGATCTGGCCTCCAACCGGTAGTTGCCGTTCAGGTTGATGTAGTTCCTCCCATCTGATCTCGTCCTCGATCAGCTGCCACGTCCGATCTTCACGTAGCCGCCACGTGGTTCTCCACGGAAACCCCTTGCACTCGTCGTAAGCGTCCGGTTTTGGTATGCGCTCCGGATCCTTGATCACCACAGCGACCATATTTGGATTCTCTAAGATGTGGGCACCCTCGGTCGTGAGCATGTCCTCCTTGACGCCTTGCTCCAGCGGTCCATTTGCTATTGGCCCAGTGTCCTGATCCGCTTCGATCTCTCCCACCAGGATCTCGTGACTCGTGCCCCCGTTGTGCTTCGGTTTCTTGTGGTAATCCTGAACCTGGTAGTCGCAGATGCTCGTGATCGGCCCCCCGTTGTGCTTTGGATTCTTCTGGTAATCCTGAATCTGGTTCAGCTCCTCGGGGCTGAAATAGAGTAGATCATGTCCGTGGTCTTCTCGAAGTAGTTCAGCGAAACTCTTGACATGCACTGATAGGCCGGGCTTGCCTCTCACCTGGCCATAGGCTCGTTCTACCTTGACTCCCTTGATAATCAACTGGTTGATCTCATTGTCATTGCTGAGAATCGTGCCCTGCTTGCCTGGGTCAGGGAGGTTCTTCTGGAAAAGGTTGTGGTAGATTGATGCCACCATGCGGAAACCCTCATCGGTAGTTCTAGAACGCAGATTGCTTTGTGCTTAGAACTCCATTGCACAACTGTGTGGATCACTTTCTCAAACGCCTTTTGTCGTCGTCTATTCAACATATAGTTTGTAAGGGTATCGACACCGACTTGTTGCTTCCTACTCCTAGGTGGACTTTCCTGGAAAGGCGCTGCATCGGTGACGTAGAGGTGGATGAGACCTGGCCGATCATGCTGCAAAACACTCTGTAGAGACTGCAAGCTGCTGGGTAGAGTCATGCTCTCGTCTAGACATACTCGCAGACAAACTCCGACCTGAGAAACTGATCGCTGCTGCAACGGCTTGGGTTTGACAATCTGGTCGATCTCTTGCACATCTACATGAAAAAGCTCGCTGTAGTATTGCTTGAGGTGCTTACTCATGCCGTTCTTGTGCTCGCGGAGAACTCTTTCTTTTAGCGCTTCCAAGCTATTCGTCTCATTGGTGTCCGTGAGGCACGTGCACAGATCGGTCCACATCTGCTCGGTTCTCCTCAAAAAGGAAGACATCTTCCTGCCGGCGCTTGCGGCAAGTTGCAGTTCTAGGGGTGACGCTTCTTGTAGTTGTTCCGCATGGCCTGGAATCGCTTGAACTCCTCGTACTCTTCCTCCTCGCTGTTGGTCTCCGGAGCCGCTGGCCTTCGGGATTGTCCGGATGAGCTGGCCGGCGTGGTCGGGCTCTCCGGCGGTTCTTGCATGCACACTGGAACCGGTGGTGGAGGTCCCTTCGGCGATCTTGTTGTCGCCGAGCTCGGCCTTGGAGGATTCTCCTGCACTGCTTCCAGACCGCGGTAGGCAACATGGGCAGCCGTAGTAGATTCCCGCTTCAGGACCTGTCCGCAGTCCCGACACTTCGTGATCTTTTGCCACCCGTTGCTCCCTTGGAAGGTCGTGTTGCGGTGGACACAGGCCAGTGTGGCCGACGAAGCTCCCGATGTCTTCGTCCAGGATGACTCCTCCGACCCGCTCGGTGACGGCGTGTTGCTCGGCACCGGCGCAGGAGGATACTTCCTTCCGCGACGGAGGTCTTCGCGAACTCGGTCTTGTGCCGGAGAAGTCGGACTCTTCCGTGTAGACGCTGGACTCCTCAACATACTCGGTGTCCCCGAAGTCCACATGTCTTGCTCGTTGTCCGGGAGCCATTGGAAGAACGGACACCGCACCATTGGATCTCGCCACAGAGGACAACGCAGGAAGAGCCGGTGAACATTCGGTCCCTGCTTCTTGGTCCGGATCGTTTCCACCGGCTTCCCGCAGTAGCAATTGATCGTTGCCTGGGGTGCCCGCGGTAGTGCCGGGTAGTTCGGGCACTCTTCTTCGGTCTCGGGGACACGCCTTTTGCGAGGTTCCGTCACCTCTTCGGTGTCCATCGGTTCCACCACGCTCCATTCTTCTTGCTCCGGATCGTGCTGGCGTGCTCGGCCAGCGCTCTCCAAAATCTCCTTGGCCGTGCGGATCTCGTTCTCGTCCATTGCGCGGATGGTTTCCACCAGGCGCATCCTCAGCTGCTCCTGGGGTTGCGTGATCCCCACGAACTGCATCATCATCCGCTGCACCGTCTCTGCCATGAGGACCATCAGGCGCAGAACCACTCGCCTCCAGCCGAACTCCGGTGGATTGTACTCTGGCTCGCGGCGGGTCTTCTTGCTGGGCGAGCCTTTCATCATGGCTGTTGGGCTCGAAGGAAGTCTGAGCTGAACTGCCTACTTGCGCGATGCTCTCGAGCCGGTTAGCTTCATCAGCAGGTTGCTCGTGAAGGTCAGCTTCGATATGCTCCACTGAGTGAGTCGCGCAACTGACATCTGCCTTGGCTAGCTGGTCAACGGCCCTGTTCAACTCTCTGAGCATTTTCTTGGTGAAGTTTCCAAGAGGAACCCTAAGTGCTCCTGTCGGTCCAATATGTAAGGGTACTTCGTGACGGAACCTGCCGAACTGTAGCTTCATGCCTTGATCTGGGTCTAACACCAAGGTGGCCTTGCAGTAAATGAGGAACGGCAGGGATATCAAGAAGGGGGCCTTGGCACTTAAACCTTCATCGAATACTGCTGGTCTCAAGATACATCCTTGGGGTCCCAAACTGGATGGTACACAAGCCACCTGTGATGTTCTTGATGTTCCGTTGACGGACTTGAACATGTGCACCTCATTCTTAAGATGATGTTTTGTTCCTGCAGGTTGTCTGTCAAGAAGCCGGTTTAGAGTTTCGCGCCCCACTGCAGTCCGCTGACAACCAGTATCGATAGTAGCACATAAGGACTCATCCTGCTGAACTTCTCGATCTAAGGACAAAACCTCATAAGGCAACCCCAGCGCCGCACACATGTATGCTTCATCGGACCGCGACGATCCAGGCCGTCCTTGGGCCGCACGATTGCAAAACTCTCCGGAGGACTGGCCGCCCGGGGACCGAAATCTGTCCTGGGAGGCTCCGGAACTCGACGCCGTAGGCCCGCCGATCTCATCGAGATAGTCCATGTAGTGCAGGAAGAGGGCTTCTTCGGACTCCTCGCCCTCGAGGTAGTGTGCTTCCTTCGGTCCGCCCGGCTTGTCCTTCTCGGGACACTCCCGGTGCCAATGTCCTAGGCGATGGCACTTCTTGCACCTGGTTCTCTTCTTGAGTAGCTCGATCGACACCTTGTAGGAGTTGCCGGCCCTGACCGCATCATGGTCCGATCGCTGTCCGAACCGTCCTTGGGGATCTCTGTGAACACCGTAGCCGCGGGCCAGCCCTTTTGCCTTCTTCGCGTCATTGACCGCCTTGAAATTGCGCTTTCCTCCTCCTTTACCATAGTCCCTTACCATGGTGGCCAAGACCTCCTTCACCTCATCTTCGTCAAAAACGTCGTTGGTCTCCTCCTGGCCACCCTCGGTGCTCTCGAGCTGGTCCATGGCGCTCAACAGGATTTCCAGGTCCTCGGCGCCGTCCTGGTCGGCGTCGTCCTCGTGCTCCTCGTTCCCAGAGAGCCCAATACCCCTTAATTAAGGAATGTAGCTTAAATTATAAGGGGGCGCATAATATGATTTAAGCTATGCTCCTTAATTAAGGGGTATTGGGCTCTCTGGGTTCTCCTCGTTCAGGTGGAGCACCGCATTCGTCTTCTTGGTGACGGTTCCTCCTTCACCACTGCGCCAAGCGAGATCAGCTTCGTTGACCCTGGTCCACTCCTTAACCACCTTCGGGGTGAGCTTGCCTTGGTTATAGTTCATGAGGAGTTTGATGTCACTCTGGCTCAGCTGCAGGGCGTTGATCAGCAAGAAGCCCAGGTACTCAGCCGGAAGGTTCACCTGGTGCTCGTTGAGCTTCCGAATCTGCAGCTCCCACCTCGCAAAGAAGGCCTTGTGACCTTCGTTGCGCTGCCGCCTCAGCGTGTAGGTCACCTTCGCCAGAGTATTGATCATCTCCTCGCGTTCGTCCTCCCCGTACAGCTCCTTAGCAGACATCTGCTTCAAGAGCTCTTCTCCGTTCGTTGCACTCTGCATCCAGCTGCTGTCTCTTGCCAGGTGCTTCAAGTCATCGAACGGTGTAGAGCTCAGATTCTTCAGCAGAAGGGGTCCTCGAGCGGCTGGCTTTACCTTAGTCGTAGCCAGCCAAAGTTTGGCTCTGATCTCGTAGTCGCGGAAGGCTTCGCTGGAGCCGTCCCAAGTCGGTGGTGGACCTGCATTGCTTCTTCCACCTTGTTGGTCGCCATCATCATCATCATCGTCTTCCGTTCGTCGTCGATTCGGCTGCTGGCCGCGTCGTCTTTGGAGAAACTCTTCGAAGGCGGCCAAGTCGGTCGCTCTGCGCTGCCGAGCTGAAGGAGAGAAGCCAGGCGGGGGCTCAGCCGGGGCTTCCCCGCCTCGGGGCTGATAATCCCGCCAAGGGTCCTCTTCTTCATCTAAACCTTGGTCATCTGCTTCTTCTGGAACTGGTCTACTTGCAGCATCGGGCTCTGTCATGCTCTGCACAAACGTCGCTATGAATCAACAGCACTCGAGTCTCGCTGACTCCCTGCTGGTCCCTGGATTCACCGAGCTCCGCTACCACTGTGGCGGAGTGCCACAGTGGTTTAAAGCAGCGCGCACGACATCACTTCTTTTTGCTCGACTGTTGCCGCTTGAGCCACAGCAACGTTCAGTGGCTGTGTTGTCCTTCACATGCTACCTGATGGTTTGGGAAGGCATGCCGACAGAAACACACTAGGGGTTCGACGTCTCCGGTTGCCATCTACGTTTCCAATTGCTATCTGTAGGGAATGTGGTTTAGCATATGGTAATTGCCTGTGCGTAGTTGGGGGCTTACTAGGTACTTGGACCCTCGAATTCCTTAGGGCAATTCGCTGGTAGTTGAAGGCTCGGGATTGAGCGTACCAAACCGGGCAAAGGCCGTCGCCTGTCCTTCACGTGACTTGCTACTTAGGTACCTGGAGCCCTACTTGTAGGGCAATACTGCATGTAGTACTGTGACTCAGTCCCCAGAGCCATGTAGCGTTGGGATTTGGAGCGTGACTTTTTTTGCAAGGGCTCTCAACCCTAACTCCGAGAAGCTGGGTGTCCCCCTTGTCGGCGGTCTGTCATGATTTACAGCAGGGTCCCGTAATTTTCTAGGACTTCCTATCTTATGGATCCTCCGATGTATGAGGGTTTTCGAGCTTCGTCGTTTCTGTTTTGGCCCTTAGGCTCTTAAAGACCCTGTTCGCAGAAGCCTTGATATGTCACGGCTTGTTGCCTTGATGGTTTTGGGAGTTTCTGGCCTCGGTTGCTGTGATATGTCGTGCGACCATGAACCCATCTACGGCAGCTTTAAGGGTGCCATACATGCTGTTGGCGAAGATTTGAGTATTGGGCCATCCGAATTTAGCTTGTCGGAAGATCCTTGCAGCCCCCATCCTGTTTTCACAGGTGCGAGAGATACTCGAAGGCAGCATCGTCGGCGAGAGACGACAGGCACCCGTTTCCACAGGGCCGTTGCAAAATTCCCTTGCTTCGACACACGTGGATGCTTGGTCGTCTTTCATGATCTGTGGAGACTATAGAATCGCAACAGGCAGGCAGGCGCGGGGCTCATCTTGCACAGCAGCAACAGGGTTGTAATGTGTCCCATCCTCGCAGCAGCCCATGCTGCCCACGATGGCTCAACTGTGAAAAAGAATTTCAACCTTAACAGTCAGGGGTCTAGAAGCCTAGTTGCATACGATCTTGCATACAGTCTTGACCATCAATCCCGAAGCCTGACTCCGAAATCCCACAGCACCAAAGTGAGGATGTCGGGCTCCGAAACCTGCGAGTAGAGTCTCTCACGCAGGCTTTGCACCCCGACCTGCTGCCGCTTACTGCCCTACCAGGCTTCCTCAGCATGCTTTGGTGGTCCATATGGCATGGCATGCATGGCTTTATTCTGCAAAACATGAGGGAACCCTATAGGGAACAGTTTTTGCACATTCTCCAGGCCCTTAAAAGGTTATATAATTAGAAGTAACGCTGGTCAATCAGCCCTAAACCCTAAATTTCGCCGAAACCCGAAATTAGCAGTAAACCAGCTAAAAGGGGAAACCACCGTGCCTCATCCCTGTCTAGGATGCCCAGTAGTACCCTGAATCCCTTTTTGTAGTCCTAGGTTCCTTATAAAGTTACCCAATACCAAAAAAAGAGGCCTTTTTATTCTTAGGTTACTGGGTATCCTAGCTGTTTGTGGTGCCGCGCAGCCCAAAGACGGTGTTCGAGAACTGATCGCTGCCATGGTCCTGGCTGCATTGAGGTAAGACCCACAGGCCCCAAAGTAGTTCCTTTTGGGGGTTCATATATAGAATCCTATAAGGTAATTAATCCCAAAAAGGAACTACTTTGGGGCCTATGGGGAGAGCGAGAGCGGGAGAGAGAGACAGATAGACAGGGAGACGGACAGGCAGGCAGACAGACAGACGCAGAGACGGACAGACAGACGGCCGGACGGACAGATGGACTGAGAGATCATTGATAATCACAGGTCATGGCCAATTCAGGGGTAGAGAGAGAGCTAGCGACCCTGGCAGGCCCTATGCTCCAGGCTCCAACCGTGGAGATTGAGGGTGCATCTCCTCAAGATGTAGGGCCCTTGGGAATCTCCACAAAGGTTGCTGCAAGGAAACTGTTTGGGTTAGTTTGGGGTTTAGTGTTAGAGTGTGGCTTGATTAAAAACGGGGCAGAGTGTTGTGGATTTGAGTCGGGTTTCATTCCATCGTATTGAGAGGGTTCAGCGCAGAGGCTTGGGGGGTCGTGTGTAATATGAGGTCTTAGGGAAAATATCCGTGGACACTACTCCTGGCAGAGAGGACCTGTTGAGAGCGTCGCTGTCGGAGAGCGCTGTGCAGCCGCACATATGCCTGCATGAATGTTATATGTTCTGTATGTATGTGTTTGACATACGTTCACGTAACCGCGCTACTTTCTTTCCTAAGTGGATACGACGAAACTTTAACACCCCTTTTCCCTAAACCTCCCAAACCCTATAAATCCCAAACCAAACCCTGAGCCAAACCCTTTTAAATCCGTAACCAAACCCTATAAATCCTAAGCCAAAGCACTTTGGCAAGAAAAGGTTCGAGCGGCGCGAGCATGTTTGCAGATGGCGCGACGACAAGTCCCACAGACTGCCGAGAGCTGAGCGTCAGTCCTGCGCATGTTAGGGCTGAGGGTTTAGGGTTAAGGTATATATATATATACACATACATACATACATACATACATACATACACAGCAGCGTACCGTTGTAGAACATACAGCTTCTTCAGGTACCCCTATAGCATAAAGCAACCCCTGTTGTACTCTTACGTACGTGTAGGGTTCAGAGTCCCTCACGTGTGTCGGCGATGGACAGATTCATCATGTTTCAAGTCTGGTGAGACCACTCTAGGCGCACTCGCTGTGAATGACAACAGAAAACTCGCAACATAACATGAAGCACCACTCACTGTGCCATCCAAAACAAGATCACAACTGTAAACCGGGCAGCCTGCATTTGGCGTAGAAGTGTTGGTTTTGATGCACAAAGTTCAAAGCCACAGCAGGCTTCCGGCGACAAGCGTGACTACCACGGCCTGCAAGCTTGAAACGTTGGTGAGCGTGAAATTCTTAATGCCGCATGCGTTAAAGCTTTCGCAGCCATACTGCCCACGAAGCACGGCCACACCACAGGCCATTGCGGTACAGGATGCAGTTGCAAAGAAGATGCAGTGCGGTCCCTCAGCATGCCCAAGCCACCTTCTCACAGGGTGTATAGTGATTGGGGGTTGTCCGGGGTTGCAGGGCTCCTGGCTTCGACGATGCAAGAGGTCTTGAGTAAATGTTTGGTTTCTGTTGTGGCTTAGAGGTTCAGGATTCAGAGCTTTGCAGCTTGCTTGCAGGCCTGGCGGGTAGCAGCACTACAGGGACTATGGGCAACGCCAGTACTGGCTGTAACCGTAGCAGCAGAGATGAAGGAGAGCCGTGAGAACACTGGCTGCTATTGTAGTGGCCCTGATGAGAAGAACAGTGAACTGGGTTTGGGGGATATTAGTCTGTCATAGGGATCCTTAGGGGTGTAGGGGGGAGGGGTGTAGGGGACTATATTTCCTTAAATTGGCCTTACTAGTCCTTATTATGGGCCTTAAGGGCCCCTACCCCCCCTCCCCCTACACCCCTAAGGATCCCTATGAGTCTGGCTAGATCGGCTGTAGCAAACAACCCTACTGAATAGTGTTTGTTCTAACTCTATGGCCCCTACATAATTAATAGTGACCTCAGCCATAAGTTAAGAGCATATCATCTTGGGTGTCGTCATTATTTGCTGCCGATGCATGCCTATAATGTCGAACGTAGTTCCGTTCATGTTAACCAGCTTTGTGTTTAGCATCACCAAATGAACGGCAACTCAGCACCACAGACGAAAAAGCTTGGAGAAAGCTGGTAGCTTTTTCAGTGCCCTAAGAGTATGCACTTGCTTGGATTATGTGGGCCTTACCCGCGTTGTGCGAGTTGTGAGCGTCGAAGAGAACTACTTACCCTGGAAACTCGAATCAACCGTAAGTGTTACACAAAATATACTCGCACACACACACATGTGTGTGGGTGTACATGTATGTGTATGTTTATCTGTTCATATAACCCTCGACACTCCCCAGTTGCGCCTATCACGTATACATATACACTGACATATACATATGTATGTGTATACGCATGTCTACCAAGCACCCCAACACCTTCAACCCTAAGTATCCCGAAAGCCTGGAACCTGCTGAGCTGCGAAGCTCGGCTCAGGCAATGGCAGGTGGAAAGCGCCGTTGGCCCTCAGCGGTTCAAGGTTTCGGGGTTGAGGTTTGCAAGGACGCCTGGTAGGACGCCTTGCAAGCAAGCCTGCAGTGCCTGCAGCAAAAGGGGTTGAGGTTTGCTGGCCAATCCAAGCCCATACTGAAACAAAAGGGGTGGAGGTTTCTGACGCATATAAAGCACTGATTAAAAACTCCCTCAGACTCCCATCATGAAGCGCACAATCGCGATCCGAATATCGAGGCCCTGAAACAAACCAAGGGTTTGTAATCCTAAGACCGTTGCTCCCTAAACGGAATAGAAGCTCAGAAGTTTAGGACAGAGGTGGAGCAGAGGTTGCCCGAATGGCCCTTTTTTGCAAGCTCCTTCGATCTCTCCACAGCAAAGTATATAGTGATTTTTCTAGGGTACATAGAGCCGAAGCGATCTGCGATGCAGAAGTCAGAGGACGAAAGTGAGTCGAGCCCTCTAAACCCTAAACCCCACGACGTGGAGCTGAGCCCCCCGGAGCCATGGAACCCGAATCCAGCGTCTTCCTCGGTAACCGAAGGCCGAAACCTCTTTTCTCGCGTGATGGTAGAAAGCCGTATACATAACCCCCCCCCAAGACAGAATCTGTTAAACATAGGCCTATGATCCATAGCTGTAAAAACCCTGCCTATATCAACCCACCACAG